CAGGGAATTGGTGCAGGCTAATGGACCTCATGGATTTCAGCCTTTGATCATATTGTTTTACTGGTATCCCTGGTGAGCCACAGCTATGTAGGCTTATTCTGCCTTTGAGAGACAGAAAATCACAGTGGCTAGGAGATATAGTCATCACGACTGGCTGGACAAATTATTCAGCCTCTGTCAGCCTGTGTTTCCTTATTGGTAAGATGGAGTAGTTCCTGATTCTCTCAATGTCATGAGAGTTAAATAAAATCATTCCAATTCCATTATACGTGGCAAATAATCAGTGTACCACAAATGGCAGATACATGATAATGTTAGCTTTTAGGGTTTATCTGGGCCAGGTAAAGCAACCAGAGCACGTCTAGCAAAGTCTCACAGCGTCGATCCCTACACAACTGTCTCATGGAACAGAATCTGTGGAGTTAGTAGTCAGTCCTCTCTGCTTAGCTGTGGAAAAGCAGATGCTGTGGAAATGAGAGATTTAGCATTTAATCATCTTGTCTGGCAAAAAGCATCTCTGATTATGAACACCCACCCCCCCAGCATGTGCACACAAGCTGCCATCCTTCCTGGGAAGGGCGCCCCTGTGTTCCCAGCCTTTGAAGTGGTTTGGGGGAGAACTGCTTTCTTCTCAACAGCACGTACAGTGCGTGGAGCAGAGGAGCGGGGACACGCTGGTAGGTTATATGCAAGGAATGACAGTTTTACTGCCCTACCTGCTTGGTTCTGCACACATTGGAGAAACTGCCCATGGCTCTAATAGCAGCAAGAGTTTTTCCCTACCTTGTTTATAGACCACTTCCCTTAAACTTAATATTTTTTTTTAAAGTAAGATGTGTGTGTTCTAGAGAACCCATCTGTGCCCTCTGTCATTTTGAACATGGAATGATCATGAGAGGTCAAGTTCTTTTCCGAGAGGAGCTGTTGGGACCCTTCAGTGCTGTGAATGGCATGAGGCTGACCTGCCTGGCTCCACTCTCGCAGCCCAGCTCTAGCAAGGCAGGCACAGCGGGCAGCATCTGTCGAGATCCTGTAGTTTTTCCATGTGGGCAAGACCCAGCTTCTCAGCAAGTCAGGATTCTAATGCTACTGACAGCATATGCTCCCAGGCTGGAGGTTGATACGAGTTCCGTGACAAACAGGGACGTTAACATTAATGAACTTCAAAATGTTTAGCCAAAAGCCTAGAGTCTGTGTCACTGGTAGATGAAAAGATATTCTGCTTTTAACTTCAGCTCGGCTCTCAGCCTCTTAATTAATGCCTCATCTCTAGAGGGCAGGGCAAAGTCCAAGCTTCATAGTATGACCTACAAGGTCTTGCCCTTCTCCAGCCTCATTCCCTTCCATGCTGTGTCCAAGTGTCAGGACACATGGAGTCTTTACTCTGTGCTTTTTATGGGTTTTCTCTCTGCATGGCATGCTCTGCCCGCTGTGTTTTTTCACCTAGTCACATTTCCCTTCAACATGCCAAGTCTTTCTTTGGGGTTCCTGGTCATCCCACCAACCTATGAGGGTATCATTTTCCTGCTCTGAATTAACTTTTGAACTTTGCAGAGTTAATCAATGTACATGTAACCTAGATATCAGCTGGGGTTAGCCAGCCCCTTAAAATCTAGGTAAGATTAAGCATGCTAGCTCTGCCCTTCTTCAGCTCGTAGACAGTCCAGTGTCTCCCTGTGACTACACACGAATCTTCATTCTCTGGTTGTCCTTTGGCCTTGGAATTCTGTACTTAAAATTCAGTCTGAATTAATTCCATTTATGAATCAATTCATTATCCTAAGAGATGTTTTGGTTCCCCTGTGGATGAGTTCTTCTAACCCACCATACATTTGTTCACAGCCTTTGTATGTGAGGTGGACTTGGCTAAACCTTTGGAAGAGAGGGAGGGGGCTTAACTTTGGAACAAGCAATAGTCCAAATCTATTCACAGCAGAAACCAAGTTTCACACTACGATGTCAGCATCAATTCCATGAACCTTTGAAGATACTACTTGGTCTCCACCTGGTTTTCTGATTTGGTCAAGCCAAATATCATGGCTTGGTAGTGGGTGACATGAGCTGGCTGGAGCCTTGTAGTGAATTTTGGTGGCTGAGTGCCAACCTTTCTCTATCAGCTGTATTCAAGGCCTTCAATAGCTCCTTATCTGTGTCTTAGAAGACATGGCACAACTCTGCAGCCATCCAAGGGATGTGCCACTCCCATCAAAGGAGCGTTTAGGTCCATGCCTCATTGAAGATAAACTGACTTTGACCACCTATAGGAAACCCAGAACTGTCTTTGTAAATCCAGACATCTCTAGTTAGATGTAGAGCCCTGCTTGACAAAGTCTGTTTCTCTGAAAATGTTGATCTCATATGATGAGTTCTGTCTGCCTCTCTTCTGATCCTTTAAACTAGACCCTGCTATTTCCTTCCTTATCTAATTCTTTCCTGTACCGTTGCAGGTTTCCTTTATGGAAGTGTCCAATTCCTTTATGAATCTGTGCTCAGCAGAGAGGATAAGAAGGGAAAATAACATGCAATAAGTACTTATAATTTACAACTAACTCACTGGGTAGTTTATAATTATTCCAAAGTTACAGTCGAAGCATGAATCTCAGGCCTGGAGTTGTGGCTCAGTGGTAGAGCACTTGCCTAACATGTGTGAGGCACTGGGTTTGATTCTCAGCACCACATATAAATAAATAAAAGGTCCATAGACAACTAAAATTTTAAAAAAGAGAGAGAGAGAGAAGAAAAAGTATGAATCTCAGAGTTGTCTTGAGACTGGTCCAAAGTCTCGAGGGTAGAAAATCCTGTATTTTATCCATTATACCACAACTACCTCACAGAGGACCTGACAACCTACCTGATTCAGGCTTGTACCTGTCCCCTCCTATTCTTGCTCTGTAGAGTCCATAAGCTGTCCTAAAAATCTTCTGTGGGTTCAGTCTTGGATCAGCACAATGGGAACTCTCCAGGAACTCTGGAAGAAATGCATCTTTTCCTCTTCATTGCTTGTTTGCCTCCCTATTCTTCGCAAATTCCCCATTTTGAAGCAGAATACTGTGACCCATGTTACCTGTACCACTTAATACCATTGCTGTGCCACCATCTTGAAACAGGTCCATAATTCTTTTCCAGGCCTATCTGTGGGCATAATGACTCCTGTAGACCATAGCTGGGTTAAAAGTCCAATCCAAGAATCCGTATCTGCACTCTTGGATGTGAGTGCTCAGATAACCATGACTTGAAGGGCCTGCAAGACACTACTTACATAGGAAGCAGAACCAAGAGGTCCTAAGATCCCATGGCTGGAGCTCCTTCGTCAGCTGTGTTAGTCATATCAGGACCCCAAACACAGGCACTGAAACTGCTGGTTTTTTGCACCCGATTCTGAGCCTGCCTTTGTGGGGTAACTATCCTCTCCAAACAAGATGAGGCAAATTAACAGGGGGGCAAATCCTGGTGCGGTGGGAAACAATGCCTTCAACACTTCACTGTCACTAGCTGGAGGACAAGTGAACCCCCTCCATCTCTCCAAGCTCCCAGTCGGGGAATCGGGCCAGCTTCTTTTTAAATGGATAAATTTTACAGTCCTCTCACACCAGCTCATGTTCCCTGTTTATTTTGCAACCATCTTTCTTGCTCAGCCAACAAGAAAAAGTTTAAAGCGATTGCCTGCTTATATCTAAAATGCTTCCAGACTGAGGACTTTCTTTGCTGCTTATGGAGTTGCATGGAAAGAGAAGCCTGAAAGCTTTATGAGTTGAAAATTCAGACTGATCACTGGATCTGATACTAGTCAGCTGAGGTTCCAGTTGCTTTTAAGCACAGCTCAGTTGGTTTTAACAGAAAGATATAACTAAATATTTCATCGTTTATTCATCTTTCAACTTTAATTATTGGAAACAGCCTACTTTGTAAGTCTCTGGACCAAAATTCTGATTCAGGGAGTCTTACCCTTAACTCTTTGGGGAATGGGCCATAATATCTTTAGACATATTGCAAAGAAGTCTGGTGATTTTATTTTTAAAACCATCCGAAACGAGGTGTTTTATTTCAAGGGAAAGTGTGTGTTTGTCTTTAGGCAGACCAAATCCTGCTGGTTTTACAGAAAGAATTGTGATTTTTATCATCAACTGTGTGGAGAAACTGGGCTTCAGCCTCAAAGTAATGCCACAGTGCTGGGCATGATGGTGCATTCCTATAATCCCAGCAACTGGGGAGGCTGAGGCAGGAAGATCGTAAGTTTAAGGCCAGCCTCAGCAACTTAGTGAGGCCCTACACAACTTAGAAGAGACCCTGTCTCAAAATTAAAAATGAAAAGAGCAAGGGATGATTAGTTGCTCAGTGATTAGTGCCACAGTATCCCTCCTCCTCCCCCTGCAAGAAAAAAGTAATGCCACAGAGACAGGTTGTCAGGTGTTAACAGAAAATGGACAGATGTTTGAAACTAGGCCTTCAGTTTTCATTGCAGATGTATTTGGTTCTGAGTGATAACAACTTTCTCCTCAACATTATAAGTTGTGTCCTTCATATCTACTTACCTGGATGTGGCCAATACTGTTTTCAGTATTTTCCAGAAGAGATGTACACACAGGGTAAAGAGTTTAGGGTTAGGCTTTTATGTTCTACACTTGATGAAATTTGAGGTGACATGACTTGACCTTATTGCAAAGTAAAAACTACCCTTTCCCAGAAGGAAAGGAAGATGAACTTTGTATTTCTAATTAGCAAATATATTCATATATATTTTTTCCTTTAAGAATTTCTCTCTTTGCTCAAAGGATTGTTGTTCACATTTTGCTTTTGGACTTTGCTGGGGTCATTACTAGCCTAGATGTTTGTAGTGGTTCCACCAAGTCTTTTGACTGCCAAACCTCCACAGACGCAGTGTTTGAGCTGGGTTTGATTTTTTTTCCCCCCTAACCCCCTGCATGGTTGCAGTTCCTTCTCCTGGGACATTGCCATTTTCCTGAGACTGAGTGCACAACCCTGTTTCTTTTGCATTTTAGACTTCCAGGTCCTACCGCGAGGGTATCTGCTGCAGGCAGCGAGGCCAAAACACGCGGAGGGTCAGCCACTGCTAACAACCGGCGCAGCCAGAGCTTTAACAACTATGACAAGTCTAAACCCATCACCTCCCCACCCCCACCCCTGCCATCGTCAAGTAGCCACGAGAAAGGTGAGTCATCTTCTAATCTTTCTGAGGATCCTTTACCCCATTTTCCTGTATAACAGAGTTCTCCTGTTCCTTTGGGTGAGTTTGGTTGGAGTCAGGGTCAGCATTGCAAATCAGGATGATAAGGAAGGGGGTCCTAAGGATATACTTGACTGGCAGGAATTTTCTTCTTCTGGGCATTAATAAAGTGGGGGAAATATTGTTATATTCAGAGTTGCCAGCAAGAATACCTGGCTACACATAGCAATATAGTATCTGGGATTTGAAAGTAAATTTTCATAGAATCTGCACTGTGCATTAGGTGACTTTCCAAAAATGCAAGCTTCCTGGGGCATGCCCTTTGTGAGCTGGTGAGCTTTTTACCCATCAGAAATATGTGCAGGGAGTTAGGAATAAGGGAGTTTTCACTCTTTGAAAAAGCCAACCCAGGAATGTGGGTTGGCTAAGTGAAGATCTTGGCTGCACATAAGGAGCTGGGGGGGTGTTTCTCCTGGGATTGAAGTGATGCAACTTTAGCCATAAAAGGACAGGATACTTTTACTCTCCATAGTACTGAACTTTCAGGATGGGGGGAAAAAGTGCATAGCCCTGGGGAAGTCCTGCAAATAAGGCTGTAAAACAAACCTTTGTTTGTGTAAGCCTGTTATCTCTAGAGACCTTGGAGAAACTGAGGCAGTTTAGAAGATTCTTCAGTGAAAGGCAGACCTCTCCTTCAGTCCTCCCAGGTAGTGGTCTAGAGTTCTTTGGGGACTTTCCCAATTATCTTGGGAGCATTTCCTCCCTGGTATCGTGGAAGCTTCCCAGGGCTTACCTGAATGATGTTCCTGCATTTCCCTGAGACCTAGGAGAGCTCTCCTCAGTTCTTAAAGTGCTCCTGGAAGCTGGGAAGACCTCCTCTCCACCCACTTCTCTAACCAATGGTTACTTGGTTCAGTGGCACTGGATTCCCCTGAGAATTAGCTAATTACTGTTATCTTTTCCCAAAAATATGAAGGAAATATTTAAGGGACTGACAGATATATACGGCAGATTTCCTAACCAAGGCACTGGGAACTCACTAGCACTGAAGTCACAACCAGAATGTCTGAACCAGTCAAGATGCTTTGTGATCCAGCTTCTACTTTTCTTTTCCCTCTTTCTCCCCCTTTCTTCCAGCCTCTCCTTTCCTTTCCTTTAAAATATCCAAGTGTATTTTTTTACATGTTCTTAGATTACAAAAATAACATAGGCTGGTAAAATGGTACAAGGGTATGTATATATTAAAGTTCTCCTTTATATGCATCTTAATGAGTACCAGTGTAAACCATTTATACCTCCAGAACTTTCACAATGCATTTATATACATATTATACACAGAGTGAGCCAGCAAGCAAGGGGTGGGGGGAGGGGGGATGCTTTGGTTTTCTGCATCAGTAAGTAAAAGCTAACTTTTTTGAGTACCTTGTATGTGCCTCATTGATCCCCAGTTTTCAAAGAATAAAACTAAAACAAGAAAGCTTTAGTACTTGATGAGGGCACACAAAAGACAGAGAGAAGTGGAGTTGCATTTGAACTCGGGTACATTGGTCCCAGAACAAGAAGAAAGCTGGGCTTTGGAAAACAAGCACTCGGAGGCTTGTCTGTTGAGGGCCAGCCAGAGATATGCAGGTGGACATGTGAGGACAGAGTTGGGAAGGTGTTTGGCATAAGCTGCTGTCCCCATCCATAGTCCAAAATGTCTGACGGAGAGGAAGTAGCTGTCTTTGTAACCAGTTGTGACATTATCCATTTCCTCTTTCTCTGTCCCCTCATTTACATTCTCTGAACAGCTTAACACTGTCAGGAATCTAGAACATTTCTCAGGTATTTGGTCCATCATAGGAATCTGAAACATTTAGTTTTCCTAGACTGACTCCTAGACATGTGGAAGATAGTCTTTTCTGAATAATATGGTTCTCTTCATCTCATAGAAAGCATATCTTTATTTTTTCCTCATTATGCTCATATAAAAATATTCACATCATACAGAAATTTATAAAAAGGAAAAAACCCTACACATTCCCACCTCCTAGAAATAGCCACTATTTATCACTTAAATTCCTTTTTATGCATATACTGTCACAATTTGATAGGTAAAATTTTCTGTTTACTGTTTGCCAGGTACTATCCTAAGGCATTGTCCAGGTACTATTGCTTTGTGAACAATTCCTTGCTTAATTCTTCAGGAGCTCTATGCATGTACATGCACACTAACATATTGATATAACTTTTTAAATCTTATAAATAAAATCACCAAATCATGGGCAGCTTTTTTTTTGTCTGTGCATAAGTCACTCTCTTCATAATGGTTGCATAATACTCCATTGTATGGATTGACCTTAATGTATTTAACTACTTTTAGCTGGGTTGCTTTTAATTCTTGATATTATAAAAATTGCTTAGATGAATGTTCTTGTATTTTTTATATGTACACAATCCTTTCAGGGAAAATAGTGCATCAAGTTATACCCACATTCACAGTTGTTTTAATACTTCTAAATTTTGCTCCCCAAAAGGTTATATTTATATTTATATTCCCATCAACAAGGTGTGAGAGGATATTTTTCTGACACACTTGACACACATTCGTTTTTGAAATGATCTAAATTATTTTAATAAGCTGATAGGACTGTTCGTTAAAAATTCACCTTCTTGAATGCCACTCTGCTGTAAGTAACCATCAGTGGCCTTGGCACAGTAAAAAAGCACTTGGGTTTGAGACCAAGCCGTCTGCATTCTAGGTGCATAACTACTGCAGCCTCAGTTTCCCTCTGCCAATCTGCAGTCCTCCATCACTAAGCTCTGCAGTGTGGATGATTTCTTGTTTGCACTGGCTGTTGGGCATCCTCAGTGTAAGGGCCATCTGTGCCTTCTGCTGGGTTCCCTCCCTTGGTACTCATTCTCTGTGTCGCTCTCTTGCTGTTAGCCCTGCCTATCATGGGCAGAAGAGAAGAGCCAGATGTAGATGTGGCTGGGGATTGAGTCATTGCTGTGTCTGAGTAACTTTGGGACCATTTTAATCTCTATAAATGTATCACTTTGAAGCAAATTATTTATCTGCATTAATGATCTGGAGATGGAACCAAAGAGGAGTTACCCATGTCCTGCCATTACCTGGGATCCGGATGTGAAAGCATACTTTGATTAGATGGAATTAATTCAGTAGCCTAAGTCGTGCACAAGGGAATATGGTTGGAGTGCCCCGTTTTACCTGTTTCTTTCATTTTGCCACCATTTGAGGAGCACCTGACATATGTCCAGCACCTGACATATGTCCAGCACCTGACATATGTCCAGCTGGATGTAATGACCAAGAGGACTAAAGATATAGATGCAGTTTCTCAGGGGACTTGCAGCCTCAGGAGGAGCAGTGAGGTCAGAGAGATGCTGAGTTGTGAAGACAGAGAGGATATAACCAAGAAGACTCCAGGAGGACTTCTGAAAAGTGACATCATTTGTGTTGATTTCCATTCCCAGATTTTTGCTTAGAGAAAAGAAAAGGCAGGCTGGGAAGGGATGACTCGCCCTAGCCTGCTGGTCCAGATGTGAAGCTAAGAGCACACCCGCTGGGTTCCCTGCAGTATTGCACTTGTGTTCTTTGGTGGCCTTTGCAGGGTGAACTTCTTCAAGATTGCCTTCATGATGGGGAGGGGTGTCCCATGGTCATTCCTGAGGCTGAGACCCCAGGCCATAGAGAGCTCAGGTGCCTGATTCTCTCAGTACATGATAATTATCCCTGTTCAGGAGTCAGCTGTGTATTTGTATGATCCTGTGGCCAAAATTCATCTTTGGCAGAGGGCTTAGAAAATCAGTTTAGGGGTGTGAACCAAAGTGGCATCATTGAATTTAAAGAATTCTCTAGGAGATTGCCTGGCAACAGAATTCAATGAACAGTTAGCTGCACAGGCAGATGGACTAGAAGCTACCAAACTTAGGAACGTCCTAGGGTGCTAGAGGAGGGCTAATTCCAGCCAGGAAGGAAGTTGCTCCAGTCTCTAGGGCCAGAGGACAGTTATCTCAGGACAAAAGGTTTGAGCCTACAAAGTGAGTACTTTGAAGGCAGACTTCTGAGTTTGATTTCTGGCCCTGCCACTTCCCAGAAGTGTGGCTTCAGGCAAATGCAGCAATCCATGGGGCATCTGCTCGGGATCACCTCAGGAGGCCACCACAGGCCACACCTGGCAATGCTCTACTCAGAAGGATGCAGACAGGAATCAGATTGCTGGCTGGGCAGGGCAAGGACTTTTCTTCCATAGGAGTGGTCTGGTTTTTTCCTCAGTGCAGGGCATCAAACCATGCTAGGCAAGGGCACTACCACTGAGCTAGGTCCCCAGCCCCCAGGAAAAGGTCTTTGCACCAGTGTATGCAGCAGTCCACAGATACACAGCCTTCCAGGTGCGGTCCCTCCCCGACCACAGGGAATAGCTTAGGTGTGAATAGCTTAGACTTAAATGGGGCAGGTGCACAGATCCCTCTAGCTTAAAAGCCACACACTCCAAGCCCATGTTCACTGAAACAGCTCCATATGCATGAGTTGTAGGATTCCCACAGGATCAGGCCCAATCAGTAGTCTCAGCACTCAGAAAAGCCCAAAATGGTGGTGTTCCCAAGAGGTGTTTGTGCTTCCTCTATGGTTCCTCCCGGTCCAGATGTGGTTTAACAATTAAGGGTCATTTTTACCATGAGCAATGTTGCTTAGTAACAGAATGACTTTCTATCTTTATCAGGTTTCCAGGGGAACAGAGTTAGAAGGTTACCCCAAGGTCACATTCGCATGCAGAAGCTGAATGGTTTTGTTAATCCTTTTCCATCAGCAAGCCACCTCACCCCTTAGAGATGCCGCTTATTTATCTGTGAAGAGGAAACAGGCTTCCCTGAACCTAATGAAGTTCCATGTGAAGCATTCTAATGTTATTCTAGCCCAGTCCAAATGGTCTGTCCTTGTCCCCTCTGTAATGGTTGTAGATATTGCTGTGAAGGGTATG